GGGCCAAATGTCCATTGAAAATAATGCAATTTTGAATAAGCCTTCCTTGAGTGGATTTTTCTGCACAGCTCATCATTTCTGCCCATTCCAAACATATTCCAACCACCAAAATCATGCCAGGACACCTCTCTTTTCTATCCCTAACTCCATCCTGGTGCACAGCCCTAACCCTAATATAGGGGTGAAATGCCATTGAAAATAATGCAATTTTGAAAAATCCTTTCTTGAGTAGCTTTTTCTGCTCTTCTGTATAATTCTGCCCTTTATATACACATTCCAACCATCGAAATCATACACCTCATTTTTCAAACTCTGACCCAGTGATGGTGATCCTTCAAGTTTCCAAACTGCAACCCAAAACCCATTTATTTATTGCAAATTGCCAATACTGTACTTCAGTAAAACCTGAAAACTGTGGTTATAATATATGAAAAGCAACTCACTGCTAATCCAAGCAAATATGTATATATATCCTTGGCAGTGCACTGACCAGCCATGTGAAAACTCAGACAGGTGGTGGCTAATGAATTGCAGCACGTCACATCGTTGCCTGGCGCCCTTTCCAAGCGTGCGCATGGCCCCTATGTGTGCTGTTACACAATGCTCAGCTGCTGGGGCGATGCTGGGTGACTTGGCTGACATCCTGTCGAGGAGTACTCTCCGTTCCCACTGTGGCACATGTGCCATAGGTTCACCACCACTGCTCTATAGTGATAACTAACAAGTTCCAATGCTGAATCACAACAGTGAAAAACAGACTTCTCCAGATGAACCCCAGCACAGACTAAGAGAATCCCAAAGAATGAAATGCCTCACATCCATCACCCCTGCTCTTAATTTGTTTGACAACGCTAACTCTCTAGCCGCTCCTCCTTTTCCCTGTCGAATGCTTTTAGGGCACTTGTATTGGTGGGGAAAACAAGTAATTGACAGTCCAAAAGGAGAAGGAACAACAGGCACCCACCCTGCTGCTTGTCGCTTTGCCTCAGAATAGTGGCAGAGGACAGGCTCATTGGGCCCAAGAAGACACATCCTTCAGGCCTATGTCTTAACACAGGTTCTTCAAAACATCAACCCCACAATAAATAGGGCCCTGTAACCACCACCAGAATGCATCAGAATTAGTAATTAAGATAGATCAAAAGATTCCCTGCTGGGTGTATGCCCTACGTTGTCTGCTGTATCTGAGGCTCATGCCTACAGAGGCTCATGCCACAAGAAACCAGCTAGGGACTTCAGGACTTTCAGCCATGCTGCTAAAACAGATTAAAACCCACAAACAAAAAGGACACCTGGCAGCAGCAGCAGCAAAATCTAGGTAGCTGGAATTCACTAACAAATTTGACACAGTTGACTTTAGTCTTATCACATCTTGAGAATGGAAAGCCTGATTGCAGAAAGCAAGTGCTCCTCTTAAGGCATTTATATGCACTATTGATTTCCTTCTGCTTACACAATCCCCAGCAGCCACTAGTTGGGGAGGGGCCCCATCCATGCTGATTGGCTGTTGGACTCGTTTGAGAGGATTCTGTATTCTTTTGTTAGTACTTTGCATAGTAATGCGACACACAGACTTCTACACTTGCATTGCTTAGACTTTGTACAGCATATACATTTCTCTCCACTTAAATTCATCTCTCCAATGAAGCGGGCTCTGCCCATGGGAATTTAGGTCACAGTACATTTATTAACCTATTAAGAGGACTGTTAAAAGACTGCTTTTCCTCAGCCATTATATTTGTGCTTAGTTACATATTTGTGTTATACATTGGCATGCACAGACTTAAGTCACAAACCTGACTGGGTTATACTGGTTCAGTTGTTGCATCTCAGCTCAATCAACCAATCTCTTGTCGGGAGCCTATGAACATGTGGAGCTGCTTAATGCTAAGGGTAGAGACCATCGGCTCATCTAATCCAGTGGCTCATCAGGATGTCAGACATATAACCTGCGACCTGAGCTTAAACACACACACACACACACACAAGTGCAATTGGAAGATGGAGCCTTGAACACTCTGTATGCAACACAGATGTTCTGCCCATGAGCTATGTTCCTGTGCCCCACAAAGGTGAAACAGAGGGGCCATGGTGTTATCAAGAGCTATCTGAAGGAAGGAAGTTTAAAATGTAGTATTAACAAGGTTTACAGCAGATGCAGAGTTTGTTCAGTTCTTGGGATTTGTTTGGCAGAGAAATTTATATTGAAACATCTATTCCTATTTTTAAAGGCAATATATTCTTGTTTGCAGCCCTTAGGCTGATCTGTGCCATAAGGCTAGCTTTCTAGAAACAGAAATACACAGCTACCCCCAGTCGCATCTTCAGATTTGGAACCTCTACCTCTTGGTCTCCAAAATAAAAAGAAAGCCCTCTGCACAGGCTCGGCGACTCTTATTGTTTCAGATGCCTCAGGGCCAAGCCATGTGCATTGTAAGGCAATGCGCATGCAGTGCCAGTCCCTGCTTAGCCATCTCTCCACCAGCCCTACATACGTGCCAGATTGTGTACTGCTTCACTCGCTTCCCCTCCCCTTTCAGAAGTTCTGCAGTTTATTTGCATTCTCTCTCCTCATTGGCTAGGAGGAAAGAGGAAGGAGCAAAGGGGAAAGCCCGCAGAAAGGAGGAGGGAGAGAAAAAAGGGGAGGAGACACCTTTGTTTCTCAGCTTTGGTTTGTAAACAAGAGGAAGTCTAGACTTCCAGCTGGAGCTTTTCTAGAGGGGGCCCGCAGGTCTCGGCGTGTCCCCCCTCCCCAAAAGCTGCACCAGCAAGCTAGCACCCTGATTAGACGGGCCTTGGGAGAGCTACGAGGCTCCACCAGTAAAAGAGATCCTCCAGCATTTCTCTTCTGCCAGGTAAGGTGGGTGCTTTATGAGGTAGGCGTACACAGAAGTGCATAACATAATAAATGTGCTAGGCTTTCAGGTGCCACAAGACTGTCTTCGGGGCAGGAGTGGGGGTTACCTCCTACCTGAATTAAGGCAGGTATGCGATTGTGGGCACCAAACAATTGTGCGTGATGAAACGATAATCCAATTTACTGTCAGGAGACAAATGTGTTTGGTGAATAACAAGGGATGAAATACTTTCCCGTAATTATTGTATTTATCCTGACAGAAGACACTGGTGACACCTTTCCCATTGTCTTACAAGTACTTTGATGCCGCAAGTAAATAATCTTTAATGTGCTAGAACCGAAAGGGGGCAGTTCTTTAAGCAATATATTCAGGTTTTTGTTTTTTAATTTCAAGAGAGCTCCCCCGGCTTGTTTTCAACATCTTCTATAAAAGAGGAAATGCTATAGAGAAAGGCTATCAGTTTCAGGATCCTTTAATACAGGCTAATATGACACCCTTTATGATTTGAGCAGTGTTGTTGTTTATTCCTAGAATAAACAGGCAGCACAATATTGATTGGAGGCACAGAGCCAAATAAAATGAGTCATAACTGTGTGATTGTTTATGAAGGGTGGGTGACTTTAACCATATTTTTACAGATTAAGAGAACAAATACAACCACTGTATTTCCCAGAATCTGGGAACCCAGAGTTTTGGGTTTAGAGTCAATCAAGGAAATGTTGGTTCTTCCAGCTTGATATCATGATAGCTGACAAGTTTTAATGAAACAGAAAAAAATATTTTTCTTCCTGCTTCAACTCCCCCAATTTTTGCATTTTAAACATACAATTCATATCTTAATGGTTGAATAGACATTATTAGAAAACATGTTTTGCCTGATAAGACTCAATATGCAACTGGAAATGGCCAACTTGCCCTGTTATTCAACAACTATTCAGTTTTTCTTCCAGCCCATTGAATAAAAATCCTGTCATTTCCATTAGGCAGAAAATCCAAATAGACATTTCCATTTACAAGCAGTCAGATATATTCTATCTTTACAAACTGTGTCAACCAAATATCCTCCACTTCCTTCACCCTCCATCTGCATGCACATTACAGATTTCCTATGTAATGGATAAGGATCAGAAATTATAAAATGTAGATAATAACTTTTGAACACAGGAAAGAAAACTAAGATACTTTAGCTAGTTTGGCTTACCTACCCATTCATGACCCATCTCTCTCTTTCAGCAGAAGCTCCTCCCCAATAATCTATTACCCGGCTTTTTAACAATAGAGGCAATTGTAGTATAACATACATTATATTTTCTGCATCTTAAATGACACATCCCACTGTCTGCAGTGTAGGGCCATGCCTATATTCATGTGTCATTACTACAGTATAATTTAATATGAAAATAGCCATATAAGACCTAAAAACCAAGAGGCCAAGAAATATCCAATTTCTTCGCCGAGGGATTTAATACTTTAATACAGCTCCTATGCAAAAGCATCTTAAGACAATCCTTGCTCATGTTATGGGCTACTGCCTGCAATACTATTTTCCAGTATTTTCCATAGTATATTGTCTGATGACACTAATGTGTAATGCATATTATGAAAGGCGTGCCCCTGTCTCTTTTTGAAGGCATTTGTTGTCAAGACAGAGCTTACCTTTTGTGATTATTAACCAGGCAACCACATTGCTCTCTGATAAATAAGATGCCTCCATGTGAAAAAAAAATGAATGCTAGTATGTTTCCATTGTCTATTAGACAATCCCATACTTCGCATAAAAGGGAATCTAAGTTACTACTGATAGTAAGTTTCAATATGTCCTCTAACAATGAGATCAATGTTTTTGTTTACAATTTCTCAGTTGTTCTTTGGTGATTTTCACAGCACATGCAGCAGAATTTGGCAAAGGGAATAATTAAGTCGTATTGCAGTTTAAAAAATGAATATGTTTCTTTGCCCCCCCCCCGCCCACTTTCATTCTTTCTGGTCTAACATTGCATTCACCTTCCCCTTTACTCTGCATTTCAGTTCTTTAACCTTTGCATCTCTGCTTCTTCCTTTCATCCATTATCTGTCCCATACTTGTGAGGAGGGTGAGGGGGGAAGATCAAAAGATTGAAACGGGAAGGAAGCAATGGGAAATTTGGAGGATGTAGGAACTGAAAGGGTGTCCCTAAATGCTAGCTTTCATTCCCAAGACCTCATATTCAGCTTTTTTGTTGTTGTTCGCAGACTTATGGAGCCACAGCCTTCATTTTCCCCAGCTCAGCATTCTCCTGCCTGTAGGGCTGGCTGGTTTGCTTCCTTTTCAAGGAACCGCCTCTTTCCCTCTCCCTAGCTTCATGTTCCAGACTTCCTCCCCCTACTTCCCTTTGCAAAGCAAGCCAGCCTCCCTCCTTGCAGAGTGTTCTCCATTTGCCTGCTGCCCCAACAAATTCCTCCCCTAATGTATTTGTTTAAACCACTATATTTCCCATGGTCCCCCGTACTGTTTCCAACCCCACCTATCTTCTCCTCCACTCATCTGCAGGCTGCTTTGTGTCTCTCTCTTCCTTCCACATTGAGTCAGAATTTACTGCTTTTATGCTCCCAGTTTTGCATTCGTCTGCTCATTCAGGCACACATTTCCCTCTTTTCTGCATTCATTATCACCATCCATCTCTTTAATTCCTCTTTCATTGCATTTTCTTTGAGACGTTCTTGTCTTAAGCTCTCCCCCTATTCACTCCACCCTTCTGCCTCCTTTAATAGCCATTCCTTCTGAATTTTTTCTATGTCCGTCCAGTTTGCATTATATCTGTTAGTTCTGTCATCTTTTCACAACCCTTTGCATTTTCTAGCATATTTGGTTTGATCTGCTACCTTCTATTGCCACAGTGCCCCTCCTAGACATTTTGTCCCCTCTATCTACCTTCACTCCACCTCTAAGACTTTGAGCCTAAAATCACAGTTTATAAAATCCCATCTACTTGGGCAAGATCAGTCAAACAACCAAAGTGGCTACTAGTTGTCTCCCAACAGGGACAATAGGTGTATACAGCAGAAGGAAAGTTGGGCACTAATGAAAGGGTTGTTTCAAATTTTTTGACAATCTGCCAGAAACTCTTGGATCTCTTGGTGGCGGGAGGAATAACTGAAAAAGAAGAATTCCTGGGTTCTTAAATAAGGGAAGAATAGCAGCTGTGTTGAGTGTCATCCGCAGTTGCAAGTATAATTAGGAAGGGGAGTGGGACATAAACTGAAGGTTTTCTGGAGGGAGTAGTTTGGGATAGCTAGGACGCTTGGATTCTATTCCTAGTAATGCTGCTTCATCACAAGATGATCAGCGCTGACCTACATCTTGGGGTTAATTACAGGCTGAGCCTCCAAGAACCTGCCTAAGGAAGGAAAGCACGTGGTACTGTTTTTGTTTAGATACCAGACCGGTTAGACAGAACTTGGCTAGATCCCAGAGCTGAGAAACAAAAACCAGGCATCTCAGCTCCTGTGCTGTTACCCCCACTTCTACTAGCTTCTCCACATGGTGGTAAAGCCTTTCTCATGACTTCCTCTTTTTTAGGGCTTTTGGGGAGCCCCCACAGCATCCCCTTTCAGAAGTAGCTGATCCTTCACAGCTCTCCTGCAGCTGCTTTCCCTGGTGTGAGCCCCACAACCACAATGGTGAGGCTGTCCAAGCCCAAAACTTTCCAAGCCTATCTGGACAACTGTCACCGACGCTATAGCTGTGTGCACTGTCGAGCACACCTGGCCAACCATGATGACCTGATCTCCAAGGTAAAAAGGAGGAAATGTGATGTCCCTGGCACACAGCTGTAGAAAAGCTCTTAGCATCTAAGTACCGGGATGCTGCTTATCCTTAGTCAGTTACTTTTAAAGATAAAAGGGGAGCAGGAGTGCCAAGTCGGTACAAAAGGAGAACTTTGTTCTGCTTTACTGTGGAAGAGTCCTACTCTGCTTTGTGTTTTAGCTCATCTCAACATAGGGTTACAGATGAAGCATTTCCAATGTGCCTTTACAATCTTTACCTTTCATTATCCTCACAGCAATCTTGCAAGGTAGGTCTCTTGAGGACATTGTCTTGGGGATTGAAGTAAAAAAAAGGATGCCAGTATTTCAGTACAAAGTAACAGTATGATTTACAGGTGGGAGAAAGGCTGGCAGTTGCCCAGCACTGTGGCAGGACTAGGAACTGAGCCTTGAGGTCTTAGACATAAAGATTTATACATAGACTCCATTCCTGCATGACTCACCACAGCCCTAATCTACAGCGCCATGCTGTATCCCTGCCGTTGCTCAGAATCTTGGGGAAATAGCCAAGCGCTGTCTCCCAAGGGCCCAAATAGAGGCCTGGAAGCCTGCGCTCAGTGAGCAGCAGTTCAGCTGGATGCTTAGCAAGGAAGGGAAGGAACCAAAGCACTTGCCAGCTGCTGAGTTGTGCCGCAGGGAGTAACAGCTCAACAGACAGGAGCTATGGCAGGCTTCCCTGGTGCTCAAAGAAGGTGCAGCTATTTGAAAGTGGAAGATGAAATCAGGGGTTAGGAAGAAACAGCGGGGAAACTGAGATCTCAGCTTCTCTAGACCTAACATTCCTCTCAAAGGGGCCTGTCAAATATTGACCTGCCATCCCCATCCTAATGCTTGAGCTGTTAACAGGTCTGCAAGGTCAACATGTTTGAGCTGCTGGCTGATTAATCATTACACAGGATTCAGTCTGTATGGACAGGGTGTGTCTGAAAGTAAGCCAAAGAACAAACAAGGAAATACAGGAATAAACCAAGAAGCGAGGGCGAGGGCCATTTTCTAGGGCTGAGGGTATTCTCTGAATAAAGGGCTGATGGGGTCGGAGGATAGGAGAGAAGGCAAGGTGGGATATATCAAAATCTCAAGATGCTAAGACACAAGAATCCTAATGCTGACATTTGAAGAGGGAGGAGAGGAAGTGGCAGGCATTTCCAGCAATGGGGGTCTCCCAACAAGTCTTGCAGTACCTTGTGGCTGATGCTACAATAAGTCTGTCTTTAATGTGCCACTAGGTGTGTGAGCTTACAGCAAAAGATTAAAATAACTACTCCTCTACAAAAGAGTTTTTAAAAATTCTGTTCCTTTTCTTTTTGTCATTACAGTCTTTTCAAGGAAGCCAAGGTCGGGCATATTTATTCAACTCTGTGTGAGTATCACAGAAGGAAGCAAACTCTGGTCAAGGGACAACTGTAAAACTGGCTGAATTTGTACCAGCAACCTGCTCCCCCAACAACAGTGCTCTCCAGAAGCACTGGACTACAACTGGGAGTTGTAGTCTAACACATCTGAAGAGCACCAGGTTGGAGTAAATATTGAAGTCCTGATGTGGGCTCCAGATGCTACAATTACGGCCTAGTGCTCATTCAGGTGGTAAACCTGTGTCTAAGCCGTACTGCCTCGTTGCATCTAGGGACTCATGTGATTTATGTACTTCCATTTGAAAGAAAACCTAGATGGCAGGGATAAAGATTCTAGCTAGTCTTGCATGCATAGCATTCTTCTTTTTGAACATTCCCTTTTTGTGAGCCATTACCAGTAGCTTGAAGTGGTATAGTCTGGACACAAATTAATCATCTTTCTCTTGTGTTTTCCATGAACACATTGTTAACCTCATCAAAGATAAAGAGGATCAAAAATCTGATTAATTGAGAGGAAGAACTTCTGTGCCGCCCCAATAGGAGGGAAGCTGGTGGGGGAGATAGCTTTTTGGGGTTCTTTTCCTTCTCTCAAAATAGGTAAATGGCACGCATGAGGGTTGTATGAACAGGATTGGAAAAGAACTGACAGGTTCCAGAGGCAATCCTTTGCTACAAAATACCACAGTGCTCAGGTCAGCCCTGACCAACAGTGAATCCCAAATCCAGACTTTTAGAGCCTTCAGCAGTGTTATTCCCAGCACTCTCACATAAACATCAGGGACTGGATCCTGGATCCCATGCAGAGGCACCACGCAAAAATATGAGGGTGAGCAGATCCTTGAGTCAGGTCCTTATTGTAATTGTGCTGAACATCTGAAATTCAGGATGAGATCAAGAACAAACCCACAACTCCAAAGCTCCAACCAGTCTCTGTTGCACCACACTTAACAGGCTTGCAAAAACTGCACAATGGAAGAAGCCACTCCTTGCACCTGCCCTACTCCTGTGTGTGGAGCTGGAGTGGATCATCCCAACAATCACGCTGAGCATCTGAGGCCCACCAAGCGCCCCTGAAGCACAGCTCAGCTGCTGCCATGATCCCGCATCTCCTCTCAGCTTTGCAGTGTGGTGCTTCCAAGGCCCTTGGAGTACCTCAGAAGCACAGTGCAGTTGTGCAGGTGATATTCTCCTTCCCCAGCTAAGGTCAAGAGGAATACTGGATTTCATCATGCTGCAAGGGTGATAGCACACTTGGCATGGCAAGCACAACTGTGGCCTACTGGTTATACATGCACAGATTATCACTCGTTTAAGGGCTTGATGGAACTCAGGCTGCGAAAGCATCAGGAATGCAATTAAGGGCTGGCAGGGATTGTCAGCGCCAAGTGACACCATGTCTCTCAATCCTGCTTTACCTTGACTCCATGCAGAGTGAATGTTGGATGTGGTCCAGCAGAAGAACGGGTACTGCTGACAGGCTTGCATGCTGTTGCTGATATATACTGTGAGAACTGCAAGACCACCCTTGGATGGAAATATGTGAGTTGCTGCTTAGCATCCTTCACGCTCTCCCTAAAACTAATACCCCACCTTAAGGAACTTCTCAGCTCTGCTCTGCCACCAACCTGCTTTCTCTTGTTCTGCAGGAACAAGCCTTTGAGACCAGTCAGAAATACAAGGAAGGAAAATACATCATTGAACTCAACCACATGATCAAGGACAATGGCTGGGATTGAAACCAACAAAGAATTCCCACCACTTTCGGACAACTACATGTAGGGGTGGAGCATAAGAAATGACAATTTTAAAAAAACTGCCTCTGCCTTTCCAACCAATGGGCTGCCATCCAAATCACATCTGGAGGCATCTGAGTTGTGAAGGAGGAGGCGGAGCACCTGCCAGGAGGCCATACCCACAGCTCAGACATGTCACCATCATGTGGGAAAAAGTGGCAGAGCACAAGGAGACACTTGGGCCCGGGGCGGCGTGCAAGCAGGGTTGGGGGTGGGAGGGGAGGAGGACTGTGGGTTTGTTGTACAGAGGGAGTCTGAGGAGGGGAAATGTACAGTGGAATGGGGAAGGGTTGGCTTGTACAGTATTTGTGAGTTTGTGTGACTATGTATTATATAAATAAAAACCTTGAAGTGATACCATTTTTTTCTTGACAGCAGGAGGCACTGTTAATTGGAGCAGGTGAGCTTGTCTATAAAGGCTACTCAACTCTTGGGTAGTCCAACTAGGTCCTTAATTCCTGGATATCTTATTGACTTCTGGTATTTTTACCCCAGCTTTCATACACACACAAACATACACATATACATTCAAGATGTTTTACAGGTACTACAACACTAAGAGCAGCAGCAAAACAAATGCATTAAAAGCAAGCATCAGTGGCTATTCTGAAAGTCACACCATCGTGAAAACTACAGCATTTCACAACTTCCCACTGAGGGAAAAGATCCAGGTCAAGAGAAATTCTGACACACAGTTGACCAAAATATCAGAAAACAGATTTGTCAAGCACCCCATCTCCAATCCCAATTGTAGGGTCAATGGAGATATATGAAACAAATTATGTAATCATTATCAGACAGTAGGTAACAGCTTCTAAAGTAGACTTTCAAAGACTGATCACACACAAAGCCCTGTTAAACGTAAGAGCAGCTTTCCCCAACCAAAGTCCAGATGTTGCACTACAGGCACCAAATGCAGCGAGCATGTTCAATGGTTATGGATGATGGGAAGACAAAGCCAGGGCGAGAAAGCTGTTCAAAAGCAAGTCTCCCCATCAGATGCATAATTTCAGACATGAGGCATAGTATAGTCTGCTTGTCCTACCAAATTTATCCGCAAGATTGGCTCACCTATCAAAGATTTCTCTCTTCATTTTCTAGAATTTTCTTTACATGACTTGGCAATCATCCCCACCTCTGAATCTAACCAGACTTTCAGCATAATCACTGAAGAATGCAGAACTGGCAGCTTCAAGCTAAGGAACAAATGGGATGGGATAGGATGGGGGTTTGGGATGGAAGCTCAGCCAGCAAATACAGTTAAAGTCAGTCCTCTTACCCTTGCCCAGGTGTTCAGCAAGAATTGTTCCTATTATGCCCCCAAACACACATCCCTAAAGAGCCCAGTGACCCACTTGTACCTTCACAGTTGTTTTGCCCTAAATTGAACTGCTCAAGTTTGCCCCCTGTTGTCTAATTATAGAATTAGGGTTCTAATGCTGGATTAACCCACATCTGGCAATATGCTACCTTGCTGAAGCAATTCTTGTCATCAATATGAATTAGATGTTCAACATATTCTCATGATTACCTAATACAAATCAGTTATCACATCACTTAGCTTCCCATATGGCACATTGGTTAAGGAATAAATGAATTAATTTCCTTTTCTTCTTTCGAAATGTATTTAATTACTGTGCCAAACCAGATCAAACACTTTTGTTAATGAGTACTGGCTCCTATGATGTCTTGCCTGGCCTCTTCCCAGCACTTTGTCATTAGCACTATATTGTCACTGAAACCCAGAGGTCTCATTGTAGAGAGAAAGTTTTTCACTTTCTCCAGTAACTGTGCATCTAAGAGAAGCTGTTCTCTCATCACCCTAACAAATATAACAGGCTTTTACTTAGGGCTGGCCTGAATGCTATCCTAGCCCAATGATGACAAGACAGACAGCCGCAACAGAAAAGTTTTGAAGTGGATGGAAACAGCAACACAGAAAATACCTAAAAGGTATTCACCTGCCCCACATAAAGAGAAAGCTTTTATGATATCCCCTTGATCACAGAAAGCTTGAAAACCATGAATATCTGGATCAAATACAGATGAGGGGGTTAATGAATTGGAACACAACAGAGATGAGTCTTCTAGCATTGGTCTATACTTAACAGGGAGCTTGTGAGGAACTGGAGAAGGTCAGCCTCCAACCATCTCATCTTCCACAGCTGTAAGCACAGTTGTATCCGCTCTGCACAGTCTGTAGATGCAAGTAACACAGGACATATCCCACACTTCAGTGTCACGTAAGATCAGTCAGAAGTGAGACATCCACTTCCATTCCTCCATGCCATTAATTATCACTCCAAGCATACCAGTGCCAGCAGATAAGAAGGGACAAGGACTGAGAGGAAGCTACATCTCTAAGCAGAAGAACCCTGTCCGCTTTCATGGACATTCCCTCAAATCAGCACAAGGTGGCGCGCAAAGCCCACACCAAAAATCACCTAAAGATACATTAATAGCATGGCATGGTATTGTTTGCAGGAGGAAGGTGGGGCATTACACTATTTTCAGCAGAACTCAAAAGCCCACAAAGTTGCATAACCACCAAGGAGAAGATTGTTAAGAAAGCAAAAGAAAAATTTCCTCAGTCCATGATAAATGGCTCAAGTCAATTGTGTCCACCCTCTATCAACTATATCTTCATGCAGTTTCCCCCAACAAAGTGTTATTTGTACATTAACACACATCTGCCTGTTAGGCAAAAATGAAGGGAACAGATCTTTAATCCTGGCTGTTGACCCAAGGGCACCCTTGTTTCCCTCCGACTCAGAAGACTTGGATTCTGACACATCCATAATCTTCTCACAGGCACCTAACCTAACCCCATGAGGTGGAGGACTTTTCTTTTTTTCTTTCTTTCTTTCGAACTTTTGCATGCTGTCCCTTATGCATGGCATCTTGGGACGGCTTACAATCATTAAAACAACCACAATAAAACAGCAATAAATAACAATTAACCAAAAAAAATACAATTAAATAAATAAAAGTGACTGTTAAACATTAAAATTTAAATTATTTTTAAAATAACAGTTAAATAAAAAGGTTTGAACCTGGCACTGAAAAGAATATAATCTCGGCGCCAGGCACACCTCTCCGGGGAGCACATTCCACAATCTGGGCACCACCACAGAGAAGACCCTCCTCCGAGTAGATATCCTTTTTACCTCCTTCAGGGAGGGTTCTCGGAGCAGGGCCTCTCCTGCAGATCTTAAGGGGCGTGAGGGCATATAAGGAAGGAGACGTTCCTTCAGGTATCCTGGTCCCAAGCCGTTTCATAATGTGAAACATTATGGTTTCACACCATGCCTGTTGCACCAAGAGGCAACTTCTACATTCAGTTCTGAGAAGCTGCCACTAGAATTCATTAAAAACAGGCATTCATCTGTCTAGCACATGAACTATAGCTGACCCCTTGCACAGTGAACCACAAGTGTATATAAACCCCCAAGAGGATTCAAGACGCCTAGTGAAGGAGAAAATATGTCTAGTTCACCTCAAGTAACACGCGTTGCTGGGGAACATGGGCTGGAGGGTTGCACTCATGTCCTGCTTGCAGGTTTCCTGTGGGCAGCTGCTCAGCTACTGTGTGAACACAGTGCTAGACTAGATGGACCCCTGGTCTGATCCAGCATGACTGCTCTTATTTTTTTCCTTCCCAATCCTATATACATGACCTATTACCACCAGCAGCAAGAGAACACTGCTGGAATTCACCCCCCTCCCTTTACTATGGTTGGTATACACCTGAGAGACTGGTTGACACAGTTGGATGCTTGTTCATCAAGCCATGCTAGTGTAGAAATCTGTACAGGTGCTTCACTCATCGTTTTAAGGAATTAAATTTCTAGCCCTTATCAGACAGATAAGCTTGAAAGTACAAGCAATTCCTGATGGAGCATCCACACCAAGGGTGAAAGATTCGGTGACCTAGCCAGCTCTTTGCTCTTTGTCATAACCAGTGGAAGAATAAATTTTGCAAAATAGCTAAACATGCAAATTTGCATAAATTGGTCAACAATTAAGCTTTTCTTGGAACACAGCTGAAAGTTTGGTACAATATAGTAGCAGAGGAAAGTCAGACTAGACTAGGGATACAGGTTCAAATTCTCACATAGCTATAAAGTTCACTGGAAGATTTTGGGTCAACTGAGATCTCAGTCTAAGCTAATTTACTGTGTTGCTGTGAGAGCAATCATATGCACTACTCTAAACTCTGAAGGAAAAGCAGGGTGAAAGATAAATAAGATGGGCTATCTTAAGAATTTTTACCATCAATATTTAACACGCAATTCCTTAAGGCAGCTAATAGCTCAAGCAGAACAAAACACATTGCCATTACCATCAGTGGCATAACAGCACATAACTACTGGAGTTCCAAATAACTACCCTTGCATATGGTCACATATCACTCCCAAAAGTAGTCACTTACCATGACCAACTGGACTTACATTTTTTTTAATGACTGTTTTTGGGTATGCTCCTGTGCCTGCAAATATGGCTATAACTCACTCTAGCCTGTTCTACACTCACAGGATTTGGCAGCCTCTTGCAGCTGTCCTGCTCAGCTGTGAAAACATCTGGATGACAAATGACCATGGCACCTCCCCCCTCACCCACTTGTAAACCAAGAATCCCATAGGTCAGGATCAATCAGGAAACTTTGGAGTCAGGATGTTAATTAGGCAATTAGGAGGATTCAAGTGATGGCACAGAAAGGGATTCAGCCAACATTCTTAATGAAGTCTGAGATGGAGTTGGGGAGCTGGGCATGGGGACTGTGGGGGGGGGGATTGGGACTGGGGCATCAATAATACCAGGGTGAGATTAGACAGGCATCTGGGAAGGGGTATATGGGGCTGAAGACAACTTCCTATATGAGGCCTCACAGGCAAAGGTAGAAGTAGGGTAACAGCATAGAGGACAGGAGGAGGATAAAATAGAGGGATACTGATAGAAATAGCTGAAAGGTGCGTAAGGATGGGACATCCTGGGATCGAGAATATATGTCTTTTCTCCAGCTCCCCTGCCTTCACAGCCTCAAACCCCTCCCCTCTCGAGGTGTGAATGTGCCATTTGGGGTCTCACTTCAAAGAGCCTCGGCGGAATCATAAATACAGCCCCAGCCAGGGGCTCCTCAGGAAGAGAAAGGATCTGGAGGTGGGTGCATCCCAGACTTGCCTCAAGAGACAAAACCAAGGAGACCCGACGCACAGTCCCACAGCCCTGCTCTGCCCCAACCGTCTCCCCTCCCCTCTTTCCTGATTCCTACTCCAACAAGCCTTATCCCACTCTCTCCCAGAGGCCTTCCTACCCCCACCACCCTTCTAACTCCCTGGACTTCCCTATCTTCCTACCCACAGAAGGCAGGAGCCCTGGCTGCCAGCCTCACCTGCTCTAAGCCACCAGGTCCTTACGCCTTTGCCAGAGAACTCAGGAATCCTGGCTCCTAGGCTTCCTTCAGCATCCCATGTATCACCCTTCAGAGATGTTCTCACAGTATGGGGGCTCTTATCCTCTACGACCTCCCCCACCTCCTGGGGCTGGGTATCCCCAGAATCAGGCATCCCAGTATGAAGCCTTCAGATACCCAGGTGAGAAATTGGGATGTGGTGGTGGTGGGAGGAAACTGAAAAGCTGAAGTTAGAGTGGAGTGGAGCTAGAAATGCTGGTTATTTCCACCAGTTACTGAACTGAAGAAGATCCTCATTTAGCCAATAAGCAATTTAGCCACCATCGCTCCATCTTATCTAATATCTACCTCACAAGGCTGTTGTGTAAAGAGGTGGGTGGGTGGAAGACTGTGACTCTGTGAGCAACTTGAAAAAAGAATGGGATAGATAAATTAGAGTAAGACAAAAGGATTCCTATGCAAAAAACAAAAAAAATTGAGGAGGTTGAGGGCCACAACTCCTGGGAGTCTCTAGAATAGGAGTGGTTAGTTTGGTTTCAAGCAGGGGTGAGAATTTTTTTTGCCCTTGTTGGAGGATGAAACAGAAGTCAGGCCTTCCAGTGGAGTGGTGCCTGGTAGGTTTAGAGCAAGGGGGTGGAAAATAAACCCAGATTCTCAGGATTGCCTACAGGAGGTGAGTTAAAAAACAATATTGGGATTAAAGACTGCTGAATTCTGAAAAGGCCATAGGGCATTAGGATTCAGGATTGCTTTGTGTTTGGGAGAAAAGTGGAACTTACATTTGAAAAAGAAAAAAAAAGATAGAGGAAAGTTGATGAGCAGAGTCTGGGACACACCAAAAGGATGGATGTAAACACGGTGGTACCCAGAACCCAGAGGAGGGGAAATTGCTGTTAGTATAGGTAGGTCTGTGGGAGGCCCAGAATAGCAAAAGGGGAGCAAAAATGCAGAATGTATATAAATTCCATTGCTTGCTTCCCTTACCCTGCCCCCATCAACTGGGCATTTAGCACCCACGACCAACTGGTCAGGGGAAAAGGACCGGGAGGCGGAAACCAGCAGGAGGGTGACAAATTCCTGGATGATGCCCCTCAGGCTTGCCCCCTCCCCTCCATATAGATCAGTCAATACCCCCTCAACAAAAACTGTTCTCTGACTTGTTCATTTCTCTTTCTTGCCCACAGACCTTGATGCTGCACCCAAGTTGGACAGCTTCTTCCCTGGCCTGGAACCCCCAGGGCGCCTCCTCCCCACCACTTCCAGCCTCCCTTATGGATCAGGTCAGGCACTCCCGTCAGGTCCCCCACCAACAACACGCCTACCCCCTGGAGTACGGATGAGCCTGGAGAATGGCGAGCTTTGGAAACGTTTCAGTGGAATTGGCACAGAGATGATCATCACCAAGGCAGGCAGGTAAGATGCTCACTGACAGAGAGCTTGCCTTGAGCTAGACCACAGAGGCCCTTCCCAGTAGCATGGATGAGCCCAGAAAGGTATACCACCAGTGTTTCTGAATTTATGCAGAATGAATTTTTTCAGCACAAATATTCAGAAACAGAAGCCGATGGAAGCTGCTAAGGAAGATTAGAAGACCATAAAAACATTACCTAGAAGGCTGAACGTAAGTCTTATTAGGTTCACTTGGACTTGTTCCAGCTAAGTGCACAGGATTACAGCATAAGCCAGTGCAGCATAGCATGAAGGCCTGGGACTCTGGGGATCTGAATTCTAGTCCCCACACAGCCATGAAACTTACCGGGTGATTTTGGGCCAGTCATGGTCTCTCAGACCAACCTACATCAGAGGGTAGCTGTGGTGAGAATAAAATGGAGGAAGAGAAGCTTGTGAACAGCCTTGGGGTTCCTTACAGGAGGAAGACAGACAGGGTATTAATGTAATCTAATAACAACAAATAATGAGCCATCCTTATACCAGACAGAGTACACCATAATCAGTGTGTACATGTGTCATTTTTTTCTTCTTCTCCCCATTACAACCAAAGAAACAGAATGGCAGTACTATAAAAGTAACTCTCATATAATTCATGGAATTTATTGCCACAGAATGTGGTGATGGCCAGGAATTTAGATGATCTTTGAAAGGGATCAGATCAAATTCACAGATGACAGGTCTAACTGCTGCTATTGGCCAAGGTAATGAAACAGAGCCTCCAGCTTCAGAGGTTGTACACCTGGGAAAATCAAATGCTGAGAATGCATAGCAAGGGAGCCCTGTTGTTGCCTTCCCTTTAAGCTTCCTAAAAACATCTGGTTAGGCTATAGAGGGAAACAAGTTCCAGGAGTAGATGGTCCTTTGAGCCTAATTGAGTAATTAGGTAGGTAGCAGTGCACTTGTGTAAGAGAATATGCTACAAAAAATGGGGCATTCATGCAAATAAAACAACAACAACAAAAGCCAGCCACCTTTTAATCTCTTCATTGTCTCAATGTTTTCCAACCTTCAGATTAAGTTGGATTACAACTCCTATCATCACTGATCATTGTCCATTCCTGGCTGGGGATTAAAGAAGTTGTAGTCAAACTTCTGGGAACTCAAGTTAGGAAACAGTGTAAGAAATTGAGTACTGAGGAAAGGGAAACCAACTATTTTGGGATGCATTAAAAGAAGGATTACTTCCAAATCATGAAAAGCAGTAGTTCCCCTATACTTTGCACTAGTCAGACCTCATCTGGAATACTGTGTCCAGTTCTGGGCACCAAGATTTATGAAAGATGCAGAAAAAATAGAAAAGGTCTGGAGGAGGGCAACAAAAATCATCCAGGATTTAGAAACACTGCCCTGTGAGGAGAGACTGAGAGAACTGGGTATGTTCAGCCTTGAGAAGATTGAGCGGGGGCACATGAAATCTTTCTATAAGTACCTCAAAGGCTGTCACAAAGAGGAAGGTCAAGATCTCTTCTCGCTGATGACAGAGTGTATGACACAGAATAATCAAGTCAAGTTGCAACAACCCACATTCAGGCTAGACATCAGGAAAAGTTTCCTCACTGTCAGAGCAATATGACAGTGGAACCAGTTGCCTGGAGAGGTTGTCAGCAATTCCACACTAGAGACATTCAAAAAGAAACAGGACAGTCATCTGAATGAGATGGTGTAAATTGGTGTCCTGCACCAGCAGGGGGTGGAATGCGATGGCCTTCATGGCCCCTTCCAACTCTGCCATTCTATGATTCTATTAGAGCACCAAGAAAGGGATCATTCTTTGATCTGGTTAGTCTAAAGTGGGCATTTGGCAGGCTTTCAACTGAAATACCTTCCACATGCAAGGGACCTTAATATTCTCCCATGAAATAAAGTGAGCCAGAATAGAAAAATGGTTCTGTTCTAAGGGCGGATGACATTTGTACCATGGGAGCCAATTTGCTTTGTTAATCTCTGAGCATGAATGGATGCTGCCAAATAGGCAATATGTCTGATGGATACAGTTTACTCCTTCTCCTGTTTTATCTTTCTGAAATTGTTCCTTTCAACTGTGGACAAAACACTAAAGTCAACAGCTGAGAGGGGTGGAAGAGTACCCCTTTCATTATGTCTCACAGGCCAATTTCTTCATCAAGAAATTAGCTAGTGTTTTTAATTATCTGACCAACATCTCCATCATCTTCCCAGGAGGATGTTTCCACAGCTGAAAGTTTCTGTAACAGGGCTGGATCCTGAAGCCAAGTACCTGCTGCTGGTGGATGTAGTCCCAATAGGCAGCTCACGTTACAAGTGGCATGGCAAGCGGTGGGAGGCCAGTGGCAAAGCCGAATTACCACCACCAGACCGCGTCTACATCCACCCTGACTCACCTGCATCAGGTGCCCACTGGATGCGCCAACCTGTATCCTTCCACCGGCTCAAGCTCACCAACAACACACTGGATCCCCATGGACATGTATGGCCAGGGAGGGGAGGAAGAAAAGCATTTTGGGAAAGGCATAATATTGAAGGGATGATGGCTCAAAGAAAAGACCCAAGTAGAACCCATTTAAATCAGGGTATTGACAGTTATTTGGGAAGATTATATAGGTTTATAGTAGATTATACAAATAAGTCCCATGCTCAGGGCTTTGTAAACTGCTTAAGACAGTCTCTGAGGTAAGTCAACATTTTGAAATCAAGAAAACAAATCCCAGAATGTGCAACTTATACAGACTAAGAATATTTACACTTATAGGTTTATTATACATCATTTATTTCACTTCCACCATTAATGGGACAGCTCAGTGAAGCCACACATTTGGATTACCAGAATTCTACTCAGCCCATTTCACCAGGCATTCAAGCCTATTTCTGCAGCCAAAGAACTAGAATCTTAGTCCCTTTCTTAATCAACAATAAAAGCAACAATTCTCAAAATTTGTGCTTTGTACCCAACCCTGACCCTGACTCTATAAAGAGCTAAACAATCAGTATAATAGTGGACACAAATGACATATAGCAGGAGAACTATGTCTGCAGGTAAACAGGTGTATGACTTACCTCTATTTTTTGTGCTTCTCTCAGCTAATTGTGCACTCCATGCACCGTTACCAGCCACGGGTACATGTGGTTGGGGCTGGAGGACGCCGTGGAGCAGGAGGTGGCTGTGCTTCCTTTACCTTTCCTGAAACCCAGTTTTTGACTGTCACGGCCTACCAGAACCCACAGGTGAGAGCAAGACCATTATTATACCTTTCCATGTTTTTAAAAAGCCCATTCCCAGAAGGATTGTGTCAGAAGTGGGAAGCAGCCCTGAATGTATGCTTCCAGTTCCAATTCAAGGTGCTGGTTTTAATCTATAAATCCTTACACAGCTTATGACTGATACCTGTTGGTATACTTTTCCCATCTTCAATCTACTCAGACACTACACTCAACTTCTGGGGCCTTCCTCTGAATGCTTACTCCAAGGGAAGTGCAGAGGGTGGCAACATGCAGGAGGGCTCTCTCTGTGGTGGCCCCCTGCTTATAGAACAACCTCCCCAGTGTGGCCTGACTGGCATCAAACTTGTCATCTTTTTGGTGCCAAGTTAAGACAGCTCTCTACGCTGAGGCTTTTAAAGACTTATCTGAATACCCAGAGGCTTAAAGGGATTGCCCATCATCACAGGTGTTTTACCAAGTCTCTCTGTGTTATTTTTTGAGTTTAACCGTTTTAAAATTTTAGTGCATTTATTTTATTTTATTTTTGCATTTTATTATCTGTTTTATGGACTATTGTAAACTGCCCAGATAACTTCAGCTGTGAGGTGGTATAATTTCAAAAGAAACATCACCATTTTGGGCAAGGACAATCAACATGGTGCAGCAAATAGATGAGTCCCTGTGGTCAGGATCCATTTTTGCACAAGTTCCTCATCCCACCACTGGCTTAGCCCCACAACTGTTAGGGTGTCGGACCTGGCAAGATCAGTTCTAAAATATGGGCATTTTCCCGTAGCTCCTAACTAGCAACCACTATGTCTAAGATCGGAGCAAAATTAGGCCTTCCCGTTTCCAATTTCATTTTTATCACCTTCTGACTGGTTTAAAATGCAATAATAAAAAACTCAACAAACCCAAAAATCATCCAAACTTTTCATGTTGAAAGCACACCTGGCTTCCCCCAGAATCCCTCCACTCATAAATTGCCAGTTTTCCTCTCTTTTGGCCATGTTTCTTTAGCTCCTTATCTTCAGGGATACCTCCAGGAATGTAACAGCACACCTATAGCTTTGTCATTTGGGGGAGTCAGTGGTGCCCAGTAAAGTCCCCCCATTCCCCACAATATACACAGGCTTTCCTCTACACCCCTGAAATTAGGCAGAGCTCTAATCTAGCACCGCTAATGGGCACCCTCCTTCAAATGAACTGACCTCCCCTTTCATTCCCACTTTCATGGAAGTCAGCTTCTTTCAGCTCAGGCCTGGGGCCTTCCTCTGCACCTACCCTTAGCAAGTCTTCTCTTGGCCTCCATCCTTAAATACACAAATCCATACATACCCACATATTTCTACCCCACTATCATGAGAGAATAGTAGCTTCCCTCTTTATTATTTTATTTCTCAGTTACCTCAGCTCCTCTCTCCTGTGGCCAAATCCTTTCCCGCTTAATTTTGTGCCAACTTCTATGGTATCCTTCCACTCCCAAAAGGGTGTAATTATTTACATTATCTGTAGGTGTCCCAATTGATCAGCCTTATTACTCTGTTCTCTGATATACCTGTCAACCACATCATTTGGTGCCATTACCTAGCATAATTTATTCTAAATGCAATTCTTTACTCCCTTGTAAGAACTATGTATCTTCGCCACACTTTCTGTCGTATCCTTCCGCCCACAAACATAAAATCTGCCTCATTTACTCATACACTCTGCCTGCCATTTCAATCCCTCCTACCCACAATCCTTGCTCAAATATAAAAGGTCCACTTGTATTAGTCCAGTTCAATGTAGCTGTTTTAGTAAGCACAATTTATGATAAAATGTAAGGACAAATCCCCAAGAACCCATACAAATATTCTACAGCCAAGTAACCTCTATTAACTAATGTTCTAGCCTAGTGCAGTAGTCGTTTTTGTGATTAGAAAAACTAATGGTGTAATACATACACACAGAAGCAACCACAGCGATCATACATGCACATTTGACCTCAGGCAGTTCATTTATACATTTTAAAACATACAGAAAATATTTCTGCACCATCAGCCCCTGGCCCTCATATTGCAGTATCATCCAATACCTGCAAGGAGAATTGAGGCATTCAGAGTGCATAATTCAAAAGACACAAGCTTCCAAGGAGAACTTAATTTGCTGTCTGCCCCTGGCCACCAAAACAATCCCACTACTTTTAAAATAATTATTTGTTGTTGCTGGGTGAGAGAGCGGGGGCAGAGGAAGTAAAATTAGGTTTGACACTCTTGGTTGGCTACAAGGCAGAAATACACAATATTTCAGTGTAACCAATTGCTGCCTATTCCTTACCATGTCAAGCTCATATATGCAAGTGTTGATAAAATATTGAGGGACAGGTGAACTCTCACAGCTTTGACCAGCAAACTAGAAAATGATTTGGCATTTAATCTTTATCACTCTCAAGGAAATGCCCAGATTTTGATTTTTTTGAGCAAGTAGGCACATTTGGAATTTGTGTGTGTGTTGTGGGTGTCTCAAAAAATTACTGTCATGGCAGTTATGTTTTCTCATAAAACCTTTGTTTTCCAGAGGGCAAACTGGTGAGATCACAGGAAAAGTAATTTGTCCACAAATCTAACTATGAGAAAGTATTTGAGCACCAAAACATAGAACTGTCTTTAGACCAAAAATAAAAATAGTGCTAGAAGATAGCACTTTGCTATACAGGATGCCAGACTTCCAGTTGTTTTAAGATAGATAGATAGATAGATCAAGTAGGGTAGAGATCCTAGTAGGTGTCAAAAGTGATTCCCTTGGATACATTGGAACTCATGGGCACAATATTGGAGACTCCTGGCCCAGAATGCTTGATTGGGATCTGAATCCATTGCTTACCATCTCCCTTGAGCAAATTAGCATGACAGATACTATCCAGGCCAATATAAACATTGTAGGTTTACATAGATGAGTATTGTAATTGAGCACAATTCTGCCTCATTCCATAGAGGTTCAAGTCCTCCTAGAACTCCTCCCAAATCATTATTTCAACCCTCATAATTCTTTTTTAATCTCTCCATAGATGCATATGTATGCTACATATAAAACTAAAATCCAGAATGCTGCTTTGGGAAAATTCAGGTTCTGAAAGTTCAGGTTCACAATTTCAGTGAGTTATAGGAAACTAAATATTATTTTTCACCATTCAGTAGGAAAGCGGGAATATAGGATGTTGATCAATTTTCAGCTTGCATACTTTAAAGACAAAAACATACCTGTTTCCTCCCTCAGATCACCCAAATGAAAATAGAGAGCAACCCTTTTGCAAAAGGCTTCAGAGAGAATGGCATGAACAGCAAAAGGTAAGCAGGACCAAGGAGGAGTTCCTTTTTTCATTGCATTAGGTGGCATTGAAGATTACCTCTCCAACAAACTGACTAACCAAAACACTGGGAACAAGGTGATGCACCACACCGTAGACTCACTAGACCGCAGTTTAGAGAATTGCAGGAAGCCAGAAAACAGTCTGAGCTACCACTGTTGCTTTATCCCCATCTTAATACATTTTCATTACAAAATACAGGGAACGTGAGGCCCGAATTAAGAGGAAGATGAAGGCAAATGAATGTGAGGCCAACGTGGGGGAAAATGGTAAGAAAAACATGTGCACCTTATTCTACAGCTTCACTGCATGAGCCTCCTCCTTCACTCTGTATTCCTTCACCCCCCTAAAACAAAATGATACTAATTCCTCTGCAGATACACTTTAAATAATCAGGATTACTTATGAAGATTCTGTTAATTTTCTCACCATCCATAATTCTAGGTAGCTGCTTACAACACTGTTTATTCATTTCTTTCTTTATAAAGCCACTCACCTGAGACATGCAGTCACATAAACTGATCTCACTTGCTTCCATTCACAGTTTGACTTTTGCTATCTTGTCTTCATAATCTCATTATTCTTCCTCAAGCCCCATAACCCTCACTCCATAACATCTCAATTTCATAACCTTTCAAATGCCATGGTCTGCCATGAATTGCCACTTTTCACAAATAAGCACATCCTAGACTTCTATGCTCAAAACATAAGCTTGCTATAGGGCCCTTGCTTGAGGTTGCAGTCCCATATAATTGCTTCTGCCTTTATTCCAGACATTCTAGAGAACCTGTTTTATTTATTTTTTTCAGTTTTGCAATTTTGCCAGGGGGTTACTTTCCAATATGTCATTTTTATATGCACCTGCATGGTAGCTATACATCGAGCTAGCATGTCAAGTAAGGAAAGCAGGTAAGGTGGAGGCTTGCTGCTGGATGGGTGACCACATTATGTGAAAGCAGAGCAGGGGGGTGGACTTGATGGCCTAATAGACCTCTTCCAATTCTGCTGTGCTGCAATTCAGTTCAAATACCTGCTTGATTAATCCATACAATTCTCTCATATTAGAACCATTGTGGTGTAGTCCTTAAGACAGTTGGACTGGGAATGGTGAGAACCCGGTTCTAATCCTCACTCAGTCACAAAGCTCATTGAGTGACTTTGGGCCAATCACTGCCTCTCAGCCT